TGGGGGGAGGTGACCCGCACGGCGAGGCGTGTCGGGCGCCTGCCGAGCAGGCCAGGCGTGCGCTGCCAAGGCTGCGAGCTCCAGTGGGATGGCAGCCGAGGCCTCCGCTGCTCCGCTCTGGGCACCTGATGAAGGTGTCGAAGCGTAACAATGTCCCCGGGTCCCGGTTTTGGAGCATCCCCACCCGCGGGACAGTGAGAGAGCTCTGTCCCCAGCCCTCCCCTGCTCAAGTGGCCTTGTCCTTGGTTTCAGAGCACGGCGTCGTGCCGGTCTCCAGCGAGTGCCAGCATCTCTTCCCTACCAAGATCGTCTCGCGCCTGGTGAAGTGGGTTGCCATCCCCTATGAAGATTACGCGGTAGGCGCCGAGCGCGAGGCCGTATCCCTTCCAGCCCCCGCGCGGCGCTGGCAGCTGCTCACTCCTCCTCTTGTCTCTCCTCCACAGGAGCTGCCCTACACTAAAGACGTGATAGAGGCCGGCTTGGCTGAGGACACTCACCTCTACTACATGGCCCTGATAGAAAGAGGAACAGGTAGGCGCGTTTCCTTCCCCTGGCAGGTGCTAATTCCCGCACCGGCCACCCTCAGGGCAGCTTCTGGGGGTCTTCATGGGAAATCCCTCCGGTTGGAGGCCCCGTGGGCTGCGGGTGACGTTTCTTCCCTGCCCTGCTCAGCCAAGCTCCAGGCCGCCGTGGTCCTGAACCCCGGTTACTCCACGCTGTCGCCCGTCTTCAGCCTGTGCCTGAACTGGAAAGGAGAGCGAACCAGCAGCAACGACGACAACATTCGGGTAACCCAGGGTGGTGGGAGAGGAGGCTGGAGAAATGCTGCCTTCCGGGGGGTGTTCCCAGCGGGTCCGTGTCCCTAAGAAGCGAGCTGGTGGGCAGGCAGCTCGGGGCAGGCCCACGAAACCCGCCGGATGCAGCCCGGGGGGGTCCTGGGGGAGGGCAGAGCGGAGACCCGAGCCTGCGCCGTACTGATCCCTCTGCCTCCGCCAGGCCATGGAGAGCGAGGTCAACGTGAACTACAAGGAGCTGTGGGGGCCCAAACCGGGCTACCAGCTCCTCACCAACCAGCTGCAGCGCCTGTGCATGGTGCTGGACGTCTACCTGGAGACGGAGCCCCACGACACCAGCGTGGAGGGGCCCAAGGAGTTTCCCCAGGAGAAGATGTGCCTGCGCCTCGTCAGGTGAGAGCCTGGCGTCATGGGGGACCCCGGGGGGCAAGTGAGGAGCCAGGGC